TTGGTGTTTCTCTGTTTTCCTCTGAAATACTTCGAGATGCTGACACAGGTGAGAACTTTGAGAAGGACTCCAGTAGCACAGAAAATAATCCCAAGAAGTGACTAGTGGGATGACATGGAATCAAAGTTCCTGTACAGCCAAAGAAATAACCATCAGAGTAAAAAGACAGTCAACGGAACAGGAGAAAAGTCTTTGCCATCTACACCCCAGATGAGGATTTACTACCTATACTCCATAATGGCAAGTTTTGAACACCCCAATAAATAAATCTTCCAATCAATCAATGAGCTAATGGACTATATAGATGACTCTCCAAAGAAAGGCAAATGACAATAAATACTTGAAAATATTTTCAACATCCTTGGCTATCCCAGAACTCCAAATTAAGAGCGCTCTGAGAGTCCATCTCCTCTTAGATATGATGACTATTACCAATAAAAGAGAGGGCGCAGAAAGAATGTACACGCCAGAGGGTGCGGGGAAGGGCGGTAAGACGCTGAGTTCTGCACACAACATAGCTTTGCACACATCAACTTACGACAGCTGTTACTATGAAAGAAGACACCCCCCCCTGCAGAAGATCAAGTCCATCAAAATTCCAGAATGGATGGGGAGGGGTCCCTGGAGACCCCCATCCTGTGTTGTTGATGGTTGCTTGGGGAGGGAGAGCCATTCTCCTCGGAGGACTTGTAGCGCTAATTGGACTTCAGGGATTCTTAATAATCATTTAAGAAAAGGACAGGAAGTTGGGAGGCAGACAAGGTGGTAGCAGTAAGGGAAGCTGGAGGGAGGTAGTGGTGGACAGATATGATAAAAAAAAATACAGTCTGTATATATGGATAAAAGTTCCAAACAAAATAACGTTTAAAAAAAGAAAGCAAACAGAAGAAATGATGGAAAAGGTGCAGAAAAAGAGGAGCCTTTGTTCACTGCTGTGGGTAAACTTGTGCAGCTACTTTGGAAATGACAATGGAGGTTTGGTACGAATATAAAACTAGAATCACCACAGGACCCAGCTCTGTCACCTCCACTCCCAGCTTCCCAGGCATACACTGAGAACTCTATGTCCCATTACAAATGTTTCCCAACTAAGCATATCGTCACTCAATCACAATAACTGAAAGGTCCAATAGCCTAGACGTCCATTATCCAGATGGAAGGAAAAAGAATAAGTGTGTAGGTGTGGGTGGGTGGGTGTGGTAGAAATGTCTTTATCTGCAAAGAAACATAAAACTCTGACATTTGAAGGAGAATAGATGGAACTAGAGATCATGTCAAGTGAGCAAAACCACTCAGGAAAACAAGGGCCCCATCACATGAGGAGTCAGAATTTTAATTTTGGAGAAATGGGATGAGTACAAGTGTGTTAGTGAGTGTGTGTGTGTGTGTGTGTGTGTGTGTGTGCGCATGCCTATAGGGTTTTGTGTATGTATGAGGACCCAGGTTCAGTTCCCAAGACCCACATGGTGGCTCACAACAGCTATCTATAAGTCTAAGTCTAGGGGACCTGATAGTCTCCTCTGGTCCCCAAGGGCTCCTCCTACCATATATTGTATACAAACATACACTCAGGCATACATGCACCCACAAAAACAATAAATAAATAAAGTTTTATAGTTTTTTAAAAAGGTTTGTCTCTCCTGAATAAATTAGGAATGTGGGGGTCATGGGAGAGGGGAGAAGGGGAGAAGGGAGTGAGGGGAGGGGAGAAAAATGTATAGTTCAATAAAAGCAATAAAAATTATTTAGAAATAAAAAAGACCTGCTCTCTGACAACTTCCAGAATGACATGTTATGAGTTTTGTCATTATTGTTACTATTATTAATGAACTCCATCACTGTGACAAACTTCTGCATTGTATGCAAATAAAATAACAGTGTTAACAGAGTTGCCAGACTTTCAACAGTCACAGGAAATCCACAACAGATCAGCAGCCCAAAATATCTAGATGAATAAACTGTTACATCTGGGGTTGCAGTTCAGAGAAAAGGAGAAAGAGAAGGAGTTCACAGAGGGACAGTCAGGAGGACTCTGAGTACTGGGGGGAGGTGGGAACAATGTGGTCTCTATAGAACGAGCAAAGACCAGACACCTGGACTCTCTGCCCAGACGTGCACACATTAAAATCAGAACACATTCACCTCTCAAGGGTTTTGGCATTTTTTTGTTTTGGGGTTTTTTTTTGTTTGTTTGTTTGTTTTTTTCTATACCTTGGGGACAGAACCCAGGGTCTAACACACGCTAGGCAACTGCTCTACTCACTTAAGTCCCAACATCATTTTTATAAATGTTTGCAGAAGTTTCAACGCTTTCATTCCTTAGGGGAAAACATTAAAGCTGAATAAGAGGGGGAAAGACCAGTTTGGTGCAGAATAGTAATTGAACAATGGTACAGGTTGCCCACAAAAAACATTAGGGAATGCTCAGCAGCTGAAGGCTTGTTCACAGAGCTGACGTCTAATCGGGGTTCTCACCACATGCTTAGAGGTTACATCTGAAGTACGCTGTGGTGACTTGAATAAAAATGCCCCCCCATCCCATAAACCCACAGGGAGTGGCGCTATTAGGAGGTGTGGCCTGTTGGAGTAGGCGTGGCTTTGTTAGAGGAGGCAAGTCATTAGGGATGAGTTTTGAGGCTTCAGATGCTTGAGGTAGGCCCAGTTTGACATTCTCTTCCTGCTGCCTTCAGATCTAGATGCAGAACTCTCAGCTCCTTCTCCAGCACCATGTCTGCCTGCGTGCCACCATGCTTCCCACCATGACGATAATGGACTAAACCTCTGAACTGTAGGCCAGGCCCAATTCAATGTTTTTCCTTTGTAAGAGTTGCTGTGGTCATGACATCTCTTCACAGCAATAGGAACCCTAAGTAAGACAAATACTAAGGTTGCAAATACTTGGAAAAAAAAAAAAAAAAAACCGATGCTGAGCTTGGGAATCAGCACTTTGGAAAACTTTACCAGAGACTGGCCACCGAATGTACAAGGACAGCAGAGAACTACGTTAAACCGTGGATCCACAACGGGAGACTCAGCCTTGTGGAATTTTTCACAACTGCCATGTTCTTCCTCAAGCTTCATTAAATACCCAGAATACTTAGGGAAGGGGCCCAGGTAGGAGAAGGGCAATTTTAAGGGCATTTGAAGACACTTCCTGCCACAGGCTCCTCGCCTGCAAGAGCTCTCCTGAGGAGTCTGGGAGTCAACGATGGACCATGACTCACAGCTTTTCCTATGTGACCTTTAAACACTTGAGGATAAGGGGGGGACAAGGAAACAAAATAAAAACAAAACCCATCAAGTTTCTTGAGTCTAGAAGGCAAAATCACGCATGACCCAGCTTCAAGCTGGCAGATGCACCCCCTCACCCACACAATCACTCAAGGAAAACAGGACGCACTTCGGGAGACCAGAGAAGGGAGGGGACACTTTTATTAAAGACATCCAACAGCATTGTCCTAGTGCCCAGTACTCCAGCTCTCTCTGGTCTTTCCGCCAAAATGAAAACTTGGAATAAAGCGTCATGGTAGCCTCGTAAAACATGAGGGGAAAGCACCAGGAGCAGGAAGGGGGTGAGCACCAAGCAACTGTCCAAAAGGTCTTAAGCAACAAAGAGTTTCCCTGTCTCATCATATTTTCCAGCAAAAGCTGTATTTGAAACACCACTTCCACAGAAGCAAGGCCAACGGAGTATTGCTTCAGCATCCTCTCTGTACCTCAGGGAGACTTCCAGGTCTAGGTCAATTCTCAGTGGCAACTGTGGCTGGGTCTGCCCCTCCAAGAAGCACTGCTGGAAAGACAGACAGCTCTGACCCTCCACTCCCTCCTCGCTCCTATCTGTTTTCACAGAAGAGCCATCTAGACTAACTTAGTTCCACCTGTAGTCTTGGCGTCTTCCTCCCGGCAGCGTCTGCGGCTATCACTACCATTCTGCTACACTAAGCATCATGGTCACTGTGTAGACAGACGTCACGAGAGTACCTGGAAAATACTACGTCCTCCTTACTCTCCTTGACCACATGAGTAACACCCTTCCCTCTTTGTGCTTCAGCTTTCTTTGGATTTGCCTCCAAATCCTCAACAGTGTTGGCTAGAACTGCACAGGCAAATTCATCCACAGTCAACGTGGGCTCAGCAGAAGGCAAAGCTCTGCATAACTTGTACACATCCAAGCAACGTTCTTGAGTGCCCCAGAGTCTCCTCAGCACAAAGAAATCTTTTCATCAATTTCCCCATCCCTAGCCTTCCACCAGGCTCGCTACCTTTGTCTGTAACCAATATCAGATCGCTTACAGTTCTGTCCTGGTTTCATTTCCGTTGCTTGAATAAAAGGACAGGACCCAACTTATGACACAAAAGGTTCTTTTTAGCTCACAATACCAGGTTATAGTCCAGCACAGGAACCCAAACCCAGGGAATGACAGCACTCACTTTTAGGCTCAGCCCACATCCATTGGCCTAATCAAAACAACCCCCTCACAGATTTCCCACAGGCCAACCTGTTCTAAATAATCCCTCACTGAGACTCTAGAGTGTGTGAAGGCAACAGCTAAAATTAACTGGCCACCACAAAGTCCTGGAGAGGTTTTCCCTGCTTTGTTGATGCGATACAGTGCCATCCTCCTGATACCGTATTTCCTGTTTCACTCACCTTAGTTAGAGAAATGCCTCCCAAGGCCTCCGCTCAGGTTTTATATCCTACACACACACACACACACACACACCATCTTAATTTATATCCTCCAAATATCCTACACATATCTCCATCCCTGGTCTTGCCAATCCAATCGTGATGCTACCAAATAAATATTGGCATCATTGAATCCCCTCCTAGACTTGGAATCGGGGCTAGGGGCAAGGCCTGTGTCCTGCAGCATGGGGGACACACTCCACGGATGCTTCTGAAATGAGTGTATGCGATGGACCGGACCCCATGGAGGAGTCATGAGAATGATCTGTCTTCCGTTAGCGCAGGTCTGTGGGGTGGAGGGTCCTCTTACCACTGTGAGGTAAAGTCAACAAACTCTGCGGAGAACTTGTCTGCCGGGAGCTGCGGGGATGGCTCTTCTACCACTTGCTTTAGCTGCTGGAAGGGAGTTCCCCAAGAGTCATAGGGAAACCGGAGGATGGCCAGCTCAATCTGAAAGGAGGGAAACGGAGGGAGGCAACCATTTAGGGAGGGCTCTTAGGAAGCAGCCGTGTTCCTTTCCAGGAGGACTAGAGGTGAAGTTCAAGTACAATGAGGGAAGAAAAATAAACTAGAAACCCATCCTCACAAAAATCTTAGAGCTATTTTTTTTAATATTATCTTAGTAGCGACAGCTATTTAGACCTACTTAAACAAACGAGTCCCTTGATAACACCCCAGAGTGCTAATTAATAAAAAAAAAAACTTATCAGCCAAGAGCACTGAAGTTCAAGACAGGAAACAACCAGTTTTTCAAATATCTGGCCAGAAAGGAAGGCATAACTTTGGCAGCACTGTGCCTCTGCTGCCACCTACAGGTCCCTCGGTGAAATGGAAAACTTAAAAAAAAAAAAAAAAGTTACCCAGGACCAAATGACTGATCTTTTTTTGGACTTGCGTAAAGGCCACTCTGCTGTCACAGAATCACATGTTTTCTGGGCAGGGACATGGAATAACTCACTGCATATAATCAGCTGCTGGTCCTGGGCAGGAGCCAGGACCACAGTGGATAATTCCAGACCTCAGAGACACACGGAAAACGTACACAGTGGTAAGAGATAAGGCACCAGCTGAATGCAGTCACAGGGACATGCTGGGGAAGGTACACTGTCTGTCGTTGTGTTCTTAGGGTAGATCTGATTTCAACCGCGAAAATGTTCAGCGCAGAGCTGGGGACGTCACCCAGCTGGCACAGTGCTTGTACAGCATTCAAGAACCCAAGAGTTCGATCCCCAGCATGGTATTAGCAAACTAAGCATGGTGGTGTATGCCTGTGATCCCCAGCACTTTACAAGTGGAGAGAGGGGGATCCGAAGTTAAAGGTCATCCTGGGCTACATAATTTTGAAGCCAGCCTGGGTTACATGAGATCTGGTCTCAAAATTAATTAATTAATTAATTAATTAATTAAATATGCAGCTTAGTGCATTTGGCCTACCAAGACCCACACATTAGCATTCGTTTTGCAACTTAAGTTTCTCGTCTTGATTATAATCATTTAATTTGAACTATAAGAAATTGATCAACCCCATGTCTATTAGAAAGATTGTCTATGAGAATACACGAGTTACTGAAGGTCATATGATAGTAAAAGACAGAAAAATTTGGATGGCCAGATGTCACTCAAGGGTTTCCACTGTACCACACTGCAAACAATCAACCCGGGTAAATGACCCGCCATCTCAGACAGGAAAGCATGCCCAAATATAGTGTCAATAGCATTTGCTTCTGGGTCCCCAAAGACCACCCACCGCATCCAGTTTCATGCCCAAAACCTCATAGCCCATAATGATGATCATAGGTTACCATGGTGATGCCCAGACTCCAAATGTCAGACTTCACACTGTACCCCTTCTGGTTGAGCTCCGGGTTTATTCGTTCAGGCTGGAAAGGAGGCAGACAGTTAAGAAATGGAAAGACGACTGAGATGCTACGTGTCCGTCAATAAAGACGGGTGGAGACAGAGCCGGTTGCCAAATGAGTTATTTGACTCTGTCAATGCTCTACCCAGGCCAAAAGATCGGGTAATCACAAGCTATGAAATATCTCCATAGGGGTTTCCCCCCTTATATTGGTGTTAAAGGCAGCAACGAATCCAGATAACACATTTTAACTGCCTTAAGGACAAGGGTCCATGTTCACACTCCCCATCTGTTAAAACCATCCCTAGTAAAAGATACCAGCAACTTAAGACCCATTCAAAAGAAACTGAAGAAATTCCCAGCTACTGTCCGATGTTAAGAGGCCTTAGGGACCCTTACTCAGACATGGACAAGAAGGTTTCAAACCCAAATGCAAGTCCATTTCCAAAACGAACATTCTCTTCCCAGCTGAAAGAATGTCAAGGTCTCGCTAGTGAGCAGGGAGTAAGCACGGGCGTTCAGGTGTTCTGGGATGACCACACCTGCTTTGTGTGGGTAATTTAAGTTATTCACAGCCTTCTGTCCTTAGCAATCAAGCCGATACTTGCGTGCAAATCAGTGTGGAAAACTGTATGGCACTGTGTATTACTTACATGCAGTTTCAAACAATATGCCGCTTCAACTTAATTTTGAAAGGTAATATATATACACACACATACATATATATATACACATATATACATATATGTGTGTATGTGTGTATATATATATATGCTATGCTTTGCACATTTGTGTCATCCCAAAGTGCACATGTTAAAACCTTATCCCACCTGTGACCATGACAGGAGGTTGTATCTTGATAAGATGATTGTGGATTTGGGGTGGATTCCCCGTGGATAAGGTTAATACCCTCATCAAAGAAGCCTGAGACAGATCCCCTGCTCTTTCCGTGACGTGAGGACCAGCAAGGAGCTACAGTGCGCCAGAGAAGCAGGCTCTCACCACGCCCTGAACTTTCCATTATCTTCACCGCGGACTTGCCAGAGTGGAAAACCCATAAAAAACTATCTGTGGTCTGGTCTGTAGGGTACCTAGTTTGTGGTATTTTGGCTATATAACTTCAAAGGATGGAGATAATATACGGAGCAAGTGACTAATGACTTCTGACATAAGATCTTTAAGAAAATGACCCAATGCAGGATATTTCTTGAATCTGAGGTTTATTTAAATTTTCCCTTATAGTCATCCATTTCTTATTTTCTGTCCTGGTTTTGCATGTAGCACAAATAATAAAAACCCAGAGACAGATATTGGGGTTCAACCTGAAGACCAGAAAAGCAAAGCAGCCACTAGTGAGCTCTTACCTCTAAGAAATCCTCAGTCTGAAATGGTGATCCTGCCTCCAGGAATCCTCAGAATGAGACTGAGTTGAGAGCTGTCTCCTCCCATTTTATATTCCTCATTCCCCTCTAGTGCTGGGATTAAAGGCGTGCACCACTACCGTCCAGCTTCTATGGCCAACTAGTGTGGCTACTGGGATTATAGGTGGGTTGCCACCACTGCCTGGCCTGTCTGGCTGACCAGTGTGGCTGTTTTATCCTCTGATCTTCAGGCAAGCTTTATTTATTAAAATACAAATGAAATGTCACTACAGGTGCATTTCTCAGGACAAGCACACACACACAAACTCTCTCTCTCTCTCTCTCTCTCTCTCTCTCTCTCTCTCTCTCTCTCTCTCCTCTGGGTGCTGAACTTACCGCCATGTATGGTTTGCAGCCCGCGTCAATCGTTTTAGCAACAGAGTCGACCAGGTAGCCACTGATTCCAAAATCACACATCTTCACTTGGCCCAGAGCGTTAATGAGCACGTTAGAAGGCTTGACATCTGAAAGAAAAGAGTGACGATTCACGTCTCCACCACTAGATGGCTCTAGGCTCTCCACTTGTTTTGGACTTCAGCGTCTGCCAAGCTGCCCGACACAACCGTCACCGCAATCTTTGCTTTTTCCCTCTTGGTTTTTAATTCTTCACATTTTGTCTGTGTCTTTCGGGGTTATGAAACACCAAACAGGAAAGCCTGTCTCCTCTGCTTATCATTTCATTGCTGTCACACACATAGTAAGAACTTGAAAACATGATTACCAAACCAAATGTCCCATGCAGAGTGATCTTTCAGGGCTAGGGAGGTGACTCAGTGCATAGAAGCATTTGTCATCCTGAGTTCAAATACTCAGCACCCATGTAAAATGCCTGCTGCAGTGTGTGTGTGTGTGTGTGTGTGTGTGTGTGTCTACAATCACAGCATCCTTGTGGGAAAAAAGAAGACACAGACAGGACTCCCCAGAAGTGTGGGTCAGCTTGATGTACATGGCAGTGAATACTGTCTCAAATGCAGTGGAAGGTAAGGACCAACCAACACCTGAGGTTGCCCTTTGACCTCCACAAGTGAACTGTGGCATGAAACCACCCACCCTTACACACGCATGCAACACATATATACATATACACAGAGACAATAAAGTGCTCTATTGAATAATTAGTGTGAGAATAAGAGGCTGAAGAATGAAAGCCTGTAAACCCAGTACTTTAGAAACGGGGCAGGGGTAGGGGAGGGGATCCTTTAGCGACATAGCAAGTCTGAGACCATCCTAGGCTGCAGGAAACCCTGTCTCATAAAAAAATAAAAAGTAAAAAATAAAACAAAAATTTTTCAATATCATTTTTCTCTTAAAATGGGACATACCAAATATAATTTTATTGCTTCTATATATATATATATATTCAATATATATTCAACATATATACATTGCTTCTATGTATGTATACATATTGCTTCTATATATGTATATATTCTAGCAAAAAAAATTTAAATATTGCAATATGCTGAAGAAAGTGCAAACGACTTCCATGCCTACAGATAATCTGAAAGTTTGTTGCTCTATAGTCTCACTTCCTTCTTCTAATCCACTCTCCTGTTTTTCCAGTGAACATTAGTAATGGCAGGCATACTGTGCAGGGCATTTTACATCACATCCCAGCTCACAGATGTTAAGAATTACCCCACGCACAGACCTTAGTACCCATCAGTACTGCTACTAATGTCCTCAGAAAACCTCCTAATCTACAAACCGCAGGGTGTCCCTGACTAGAACCTTCCAACAATAATCTGCTCCTTGTTTTTCTTATACTACTTTATATATGGTACTTTCCTATTTCCAGGCTGTTTTGTTGAAGATTTTCTAGCTATCTCTTTATTGAGAATTCCTACAAGGAATCTTTTTAATTTATTTATTCTTAAGTATGTCTGTGTGTGTCCGTCTGTCTGTCTGTGTAAGTGCAGTGCCCTCAGAAGGGACAAGAGAGTGTTGGATCCCCCTGGGACTAGCGTTACAGATGGTTGTGAGCCACCATGTGGATGTTGGGAATTGAACCCACCGGGGGTTCTCTGCAAGAACAGTTAGTTTCTTTAAGCACTGAGCCATCTCTCTAGGTCCTTAGAATTGTTTAAAAAATACATTTTCCTAGATAAGTCTTGGGTCTTCCTCAAGTGTTTCGCCACAGTAACAGAAGATTAATACAACTGCTTCCATTTGTTACGGTCTCAACAAAGCCATCTAGTTCCCCTGCCTAACTCAGCCCCCACCGCTACACACACAGGGAAGAGTGGGAGAGGAAAGGAAAACACCAGGCAAAAGAAACAAGCTTAGGACAAGGAACTGCCAAGAGATCTTGGCACGTGCTTACCTCGATGGATGACGGAGAGCTTACTGTGTAGATGTTCTAATGCTTTTACAATCTACGAGAAAAACAAAGTGGTATTATTGACCCCCATTGCTGGAAAGAAGCTGAATGTTAAGTGTGTTCAATTTTATTAACTTCCCCTGCTTAAAGTTACTGAGTGAGGGATTTTTCTCTAATAGCAATGGCCCCTAATCAGGAACACAACAGGAAGTTACCCAACTGGGCTCCTCCCACCAAGGAGGATAGCATCTTACAGCAGAGATGCCTCCTTCATCTCTCTGAAGCTTCGTTTTCCCCCACCTTCCTGAACCTTGGTAGCCATGAAGGCTGCCTTGTCTTCTTACTTCTTTTACAGTATAGTGCTAAGAAAACATTAAAAACTCGACCAAGAGAGGTGAAGTCAGCACGAGAGTACAGGCACAGGAACGGTCATCACAGAGGATGTACACATGGCTTGGAGGCCCCGAGGGTGAGTTTTAATTGTCGACTTGACACGATCTATAACCGCCTTGGAGGAGAGTCTAATGAGAGACTGTCTAGCTCAAGTAGACCCGTGGGCGGGTCTGTGGAAGGTTATCTCCATTGTGTTCACTGAAGGGAGAAGAGCCCGCCCACGGTGGGTGGTGCCATGCTTCGGGTAGAAGATTGCATAAAAACATAAGAAACAAAATCCATGCACTGACTCGTTGTTCTCTGCCCTGGACTGTGGACGTAATATGACTAACTGCTTCAACCTCCTGATGCCTTGCTTTCTCTGCAATAGCCGCCTGTAACCTGGAATCAGGAGCTAAGTAAGCCCTTTCTCCCTCAGGTTGCTTTCGTCAGGGCTTTTTGTGGGTTTTGTTTGTTTGTTTGTTTTATTAAAAAGAAACGACACTAAGATAGAGGCATTTGGCATGATTTACCAAACCAGGTCCATGGCTGCACGTACCAGACAGAGACTGGGCAGAAAAGGACTGATCCAGGCCGCCACTGACACACTCAGTACCCAACAGAATCTATTGGAGTAACAGATCTAACGGCTAGAGGGCGGGGATGAGGCAAAGACACAATCTGGGACTTGTCCCATTCCCTTGAGCAGCAAGGTGTTCATGATATACTCACAGAAACTGCTATCTTCCCTAAAATATCCTCTGGAATTGTCTGGCCTTTATCAATAACTTGTTTGTAGAATTTATCTAGTGACGTATCCATGAGCTCCATGCATATCCAGACGTCACCCTGGAGATCAATAAGTTTAGGAATTGTCAGTGAGGAGGGGAAGAGGGGGGAAAAAATAGCCCGCAATTTTTCTGAAGGGTTTCTCCTCAAGATTTTAAAATCATTTAAAAAGCGAAACAAGATTGTTTCCGCAGGGCGGGCAGTCCAGCAGAGAGCAGCGAGATTCTGATGAGATCGGAGACTCTTTAAGTTGCTGGTCTCCTTGGACACTGAACTGAAGGATCACCTACCTCCCGGAAGAGAGCACCATAGAAGGTGACGGTAAAGGGACAGTCCACTGTCCTCATGGAAACGTCCAGATCCATCAGTAGCCGTTTCTGCTCCTGGCTATTAACTGTGGCCCGGATCCGCTAAATGGGAGCACATGGGAAACGTATGGTTACTCCTCTGAGGAAGAGTCAGTTGAGACGGGAACCCACCAGAGCTCCAGCCTCACAACAGAATCAAACTTTACAGCTTTAGCAGAGACCTGGCCCACAGCAACCCTAAGCATTAGCTATCTGAACAAATGAAAAGCAATGAAGATGGTTGGCCGTTTGCTTTCCCAATCAGTCTGCTTAGGAGCAAACACACGGTGTACATCAGAGAGGGGCGAGTACGTGGGGAAACAGTTCAAAGGTGCTAACCCAATCAGTGTTTATGTCAGCTCAATGCAAAAGGGGACAGCATTGATTACTTTCTGCTTATCCGAGACGCCAAGGTTTTAGAAAAAGAAAAACGAGCTGGGTTTGGAGAGATAGCTCAGCAGTTTTTTACAGAGGAGAGCAGCTCACAAGTGCCTGTAACTCTAACTCCAGGGAATTTAATGCTCTCTTCTGGACACACATGGTATACATACATACTGTCAGGCACACACATATATGATGTGGGATTCCCCTCTGTATGCTGTGAGAACCATTGGTTAATAAAGAAACTGCCTTGGCCTATGATAGGGTAAAAGAATAGGGCTGGGTGAAGATAACTAAACTGAATGCTGGGAGAAGGAAGGCAGAGTTTAGAGAAGCCATGTAGCCCCACCGGAAACAGATGCCAGAACTTTACCCAGTAAGCCGTATCCTCATGGTGATACACAGATTAATGGAGATGGGTTAATTTAAGATATGAGCTAGGCAAAAAATACAATTAAGCTATTGGCCTAACAGTATTGTAAATAATATAGTTTTTGTGTGGTTATTTCATGGTCTGATCAGCTGGGAACAAACAAGCAGCCTCCTACTACACACATGTATATACACATAAAAATAAATCTTTCCAAAAAATAGCAAAAAAAAGGTAAAATTTCCACTTCTGGAAAATGTTAAAGCACCATAGCTATAGTCAACTTAGGTACTATGGTGGTTTGAAAGAAAATGGCTCCCAAAGGGAGCTGTACTATTAGGGGGTATGGCCTTTTTGGAGTAGGTATGGTCGTGTTGAAGTGTGTCACTGTGGAGGCGGGCTTTCAGGTCTCATATATGCTCAAGATACCACCCAGTGTTGCAGTTTATTTCCTGTTTCCTACACAAGACAAAGAACGCTCAGTTGCCTCTCCAGCACCATGTCTGCCTGCACACCACCATGTCCCACCATAATGATAATGGACTAAACCTCTGAATTGTAAGACACCCAATTAAATGTTTCATTTATCAGAGTTACCGTGGCCATGGTGTCTCTTCATAGCAATAGAAACCCTAACTAAGATAGGTACCCTTAGGAAATTCATTCATTCAAGGACAAATTTGGTAATAAAAGTCACAGATGATTGTATCTCTAATAGAAAATGTTATCGTTTGGACATACATCTTTCCACTTTCTAAACTCACCTCTAGAGTACTCAGATCTACTTAAGACATACAGGCTGATTCCAAACTTCACATAGCTCAAAATCCAAGAAATCAACATTCGATGTCTTTTACCCTTCTTTTCTCACAAATATAAACAATTTGATTTCTCAGTTTTTGCTTCTTGACTTTCAAGGGCAGTTCTTTTAAAACAACACAATATGTAATTAAAGAGGGTTTTGTTTAGAATCTGGTTGTATAAAAACAACAACAACATAACAACATAATACTTTGAGATAATCAAGGAAATTTTAATTTAGGTTGGTATTAGATGAGGTTTTTTAAGAGTACTATTAATTATTTTAAGTGTAATTAGTTACACTATAATAGGGACTAGAGAGATGGCTCAGTGGTTAAGAGCACATACTGTGCTTGTAGAAGACCAAAGTTTAGTTCTTGGACTCAAGTCAGGTGGCTCACAACTACCTATGATTCTAGCTCTAGGAAACCTGACATCTTCTTCTGGCTTCCAAGGGCATCTTCATCCATGTGTATAGACACAGACACTTACACACCCACTCACACAAATTTTTTAAAAATTAAAAGTGGGGGACAGAGAAAACTTGGAAAATAAATAGAAAGCAGATATGACACAGACTCGCCAAGTACCTTCCTCAAAGGTCAAGGGAAATACTGATTGCTACAGAGTCCTTTTTCATTCTATGGTGGGCTATTTTGCTTCCGTGAAAAGAGCCAGCTAACAGCTGAGATGGGCAAGGGCATACGCTGAAGACATGACCCATTTTCTGGAACATCAACTCTACCTTCACCGCCATGATCTGCCCGCTGGGCACGTGTCGCATCTTCTCCACCACCCCGTACGCACCTCGCCCCAGCTCCACTATAGGCTCCAGGTCATCTGCCTTCACCTCAAAGTTCTGCAAGGAACAAAAGTCGTCACAAATAAAGCAAGTGGGAACTAAGCAGAGTACTGAGCATGCTGCCTTTTGTCTGGGTTCTTAGGGTATTGGTATGAGAGCTGGGCCACATGTCGAGATGCCACTCAAAGCAAAGAGTACCAGGAGATATTTAGGGTCCCACGGTAAACTCGCTGGTCCCCAACACCAGGTCAAACTCCACCCAACTAGGCTTTCAAACTGTGCCTCCGAAGCTATACTGAAGTTCCTTATCATTTATGACTAGCTACTAGCAACTAAAACTGTGTGGCTTTGATAAACACCCTCCTGAGAGAGCCACCTATCCCCCCTCTGAAGCTCTCTGTGGGGATCACAATCACTTGATTGTAACTCCTGATTCAAAAATAACAAAAGCTCCACCTGTCAGCTCCCTTTTACTCCAAAAGCCTTTTGGGTCCATCCCCTGACAGGCTGCCACAGGAAACAAGGTCTCAGTGTTCAGTTGGGAAGTATACATCCGAAGAGGATAAAGTGTAGATCACTACCATGTGACCTTTCTCACCTGGTTTCCAATAGAAATGCAAGCCTTGGAGTCTAAATCTCGAGGTGGCCTAAGAAAAAGAAGGGACAAAAGAAGCAGCATGAAATAGTTGGTCAACCATGTCCTTCCCAAACACGGCAGCTGTTGGACTTGCTCCAAGGAAACTGGTCAAGGGAACAGTGGAATGGTGAGCAGAATCAAGCAGACAGAGGAACAGTGGGAGGAGTCAAGGGAACAGAGGAACAGTGGGAGGAGTCAAGTGGACAGTGGGAGGAGTCAAGGACACAAAGGAACAGAGGGAGGAGTCAAGCAGACAGGAACAGTGAGAGGAGTCAAGGGAACACGGACTGGTGGGAGGAGTCAAGTGGACAGAGGAACAGTGGGAGGGGTCGAGGGAACAGAGGAACGGTGGGAGGAGCCAACTGAACAGAGGACCAGTGGGGAGGAATATGGGCCTGAAATGAAATGCATTTGGATTTTATTCGCATTATCTCTTTGGTTATCTACTTCTCCCTTAACGTGGGGATATTAATACATACACTCAGTGGTATAGGGATAAGTGTTAACTGAGATACTCCAAGTAAAATCCTACTTTAAATATTCAACACATCAGAGCCACATGTATCACATAGAGCAAAGTTTTCTAATCGTGGGTGGTGAGCCCATGTGCTGTGGAACTGTGGTGGTTATGAAAAGCTGTCAGTAGTAAAAGATCTTTGAACAAACAGCAAACTGAAAGTTAATTCAAAGGCAAACCCATAATGAAACTGAGATGTCTCTGGTGGCACTCACCTGTGTTGCATGGGGTGGCCATCACCACAGCCTTGGTTCTGAGCACACAACATGCACTCTTTGCATGGCACATGCCATTATATACCACGAAACACCAATGACCGGTGCCTGAGGCACCTTGGATCCAATCTGAGCCTACTCCATATTCACGCTGATGTACTTGCACTAAACATACAAACCTTTCTGATTTTATAGAAACACAATGGCTCCACGATGGGAAACAAGGCTTCAATACTCTCCTACTATTCTTCCTTAGTGTTTAGTATTCAGGTGGTGTGAACCGCATTGAAATGCTTAATTTTTGAAAACTGCTGTTTGCGCACTGGCTTGACTTTCATAAAACAACAGTTAAATAATCTCCAAAATGTTCCGAAATGGCCCTAAATATAGTCCTGTTGCTTTGTAAGACATGGTTATAGCAAGTGGCATTTTCAGTATTGATTGTTAGGATGAAACTACTGACCAACTCTGAAAAACATTGAAGACACTCTACACATTGCTGTAGCAGATATTCAGCACTGATTAAATTGTTTGTGTTAAAAATTCGCAAGCATGACCATCTCATTAGTATACAATTTAGCTTTAAACCATTAATCAATGGTTAAATTCTACATATGCAAAGGAATTATCTTAAAATAAAATGATTTATTATCAGATGTCTGATATGTATTCCCCTTAAATACCTATATACCTGAGATTAGATTTAGAAATTTGTTGAATAAAAATTGGTCATGAGTAGAGAAAAAGTCTAAGAAGCTTTGATAAAGATAATAATGTTACAGGGATAGGAATGAAACCCTTTCATTCAAGAGCACCAAATTATTTGATTACTTTTACTATTTGTTCCTATAATTGTTTTTTAAGTGGAATATGGTTCTGGTAACCCACAAAATTTGTAGAACCTAAGAACCCCCAAATATTATATGATCCCCTCTCTGCTTCAGTAGGTGAGCGAAAGGTCTAGGGAGGCGAAGTGACTCGTTCTCAGTCACAAAGAACTCAGGCCCCCTGACTTCCATCTCGGCACACTTTTGGTTCTACCAGGCCAAGTCAGGCGGCATTTCTTCTGTGCATAGGGAACATTCTATTCTGGGATTGTCTCAGGACCCAGAGGTTTGCTGACTTCGTGTTTCCATTGTCTCCTCCTGGGCATTAGTTTTTGTTATCTGTGTTCTGGATTGGTAGAAATGAGCTGAAGAGAAAGGAGTGTAACTAACCAGTCACTGAGAAAGGTTCTTTCTTGAAATAAATGCACCAAGAGTAAGAGATGCCGAGACACATGTGGTTAAGATGATTAAGCACACAGAACAAACAGAAGGTGCAGACAGGGGACACAGGCACTATCCTTACAAAGAACAAACTACCTAGCAATTCAAGCGTCTTTGGATGGTTAGTCACAGCAGAACTGCCTGCAGAATAAACCAAGAAAAACAGAGGGAAGGAGGGAAGAAGAGAAGATGAAAGGAAGAGAGAGAAGAGTCACTTGCCACCCTAGTTAGGGTTAACTGTCAACTTGACAAACCTACAATCCTCTGAGAGAAAAGCCTTAATTTAGGGATTGCTTAGATCACATTGACCTGTAGGCATGTCTGTGGGAAACTGTCTCGATTATTAATGACGTAGGAGGGCCCAACTCACTGTGGGTGGTGCCGTTCCTAGACACGTGGACTTGGGTTAAATGACAAAACTAGTTAAGCTTTAACCTGTGACTGAGTGAAAGGGTGAGCCAGAGAGCCGCTTTCCTCTATGATTTCTGCTTGCAAGTTCCTGGTTCACTTCCCACCCTGACTTCCCTCAGTGATGGACCATGACCTGGAAACGCAAGTCAAATAAATCCTGGTTCAATTCCTGCCCTGACTTCCCTCAGTGATGAACCACGACCTGGAAGTGTGAACCAAATCAGTCCTTTCCCCCTCAGAGCTGCTTGGGTCAGAGTCTCTTATCACAGAGGAGCAGAAAGGAAATTAGAACACTTGCTGGCAGCTCGTTTTTCCCTACCCTTCTGCAGTACGCTTTTATCCCTTCTGCTGAAACCAAACACAGGTATAAAATAATGAAGACAAAGTAGGAATACAAACACAGATATGAATGTCAATCTAAGACTTTCATGGCAAGTCCCTCCTTACTTCGCAAATCATTTCATGTTGGCGGGACACTGAAGCCTTTTCTGGGCCAACGTTAAACATGAGGCTGGGATTGGGAGACAGAACAAAACTAAAGACTGTGCAGATGTCACATACATGTTCGTGTACTGCTTCCAAGCAGGCAATTTCCCTGCAGAGAATTGGTGTTGGAGGTCCTTCTGTTGCTTTCATTGGTTAATGAATAAAGAAACTGCCTTGGCCTGTCGATAAGGCAGAACTTGGGCAGGCAGGGAAAACTAAATGGCATGCTGGGAGCAAGGAGGAAGAGCCAGAGTTAGGAAGCCACCATGGATGGAGCAGCCTCCTGAATCTTTGCCAGTAAGCCACTGCCACGTGGCGATATACAGATGACTAGAAATGGGTTAAACTAAGATGTAAGAGTTAGCCAATAAAATGTTAGAGCTAATGGGCCAAGCAGTGATTTAATCAGTACAGTTTCTGTGTGTTTTTTTTTTCAGGGTAGTTATTTCGGGGCTAAGCTAGCGGGGCGGCTGGGACAAACAGGCGGTCTTCCTGTTACAGAGAATCCTTTCGGAAGCATCAAGTTTCTAAAAACTCATTTCTCATCATGTTTTGAGATTCATTTGTATATTTTTTTAAATTATGTGTAGGTGTGTTATCTGTGTAGGGGTGGGTATGTACACATGATGGCAGGTGCCTGCGGAGGCCAGAAGAGGGTGTCAGATCCTCTGGAGCCAGAATTACAGGTGGCTGTGAGTCACCCAACATGTGTACTGGGAGCCTGAACTCAGGTCCACGGCAAGAGAAGTAAGCACTGACAACTTCTGCATCATCTCCTCGGCCCCTAATTTCTCACTCTGTCAAAGCTGGTGTCTCTTTGGCTATTACAGTGTTTTTGCTCAAATTGTCACAGCCCTCTCAGAGGAAGACAAATGCAACTTAAAATGCATGATGAATAATAAGATCTTCTGCAACTATTTAACACCCTTCCTTGGTGGAAAAAAAAAAAAAAAAACTACCGAGGAAAAAGAATTATTATTTGTGGTTCCCTCCATTTTCTTGCCAATCAGTGAAGTCATGAAATAGAACTGCTTCCAGATCTAATACCTTCTCTTCTAAACCATGGCTTGGCAAACTGCAGCCTGTGACCCAGCTATGGAAGACTTTCAGGGGCTTAATAATTCTACAGCATTCTATAAGAATACCCAACAAAGGGCATACAACTGATGCCACCGTGGCCTGATGTAGCCCCAAATAGTTCCTCTCCAGCTTTCCCAAATGTTTGCTGCCCCTGACTCTGTATTCTGCTCACATTTAACCTCAACCTAATAGGACATGGTGCCATATTTCCACATAAGAAAAACGAAAACCAGATGTCTGATGATTTTTATGGAGATACGTAATTGTCAACCACACTGAGTCTAGAACTCATGTCACCTGATCCTCAACTTTGACCTGAGAAGGTAGAGAGGACAGAAAGGAGAAAGTTGGGTAAAGTGCTTTTCCCAAGCCGTGATTCCTGTGCAAATAAGGCTGAATCAAGGAACGGGTTCCGATACTCGGGCCTCTGATGAAAATGACTAATCCACCCAAGCCCCGGGCCTCTGGGTTCATCAAGTCTGCCAAAAGCATCAAAGGATAGGGCCAAGACTGACAGCTCAGGCTGGATTAGCTGACACTGTGCTCCCTCTGTTCAGGGTTGGACACACAAGTTTGCCTGAGGGGGTGAACCTCCACAGGAGGCTAAAAGCCGTGGGTAGATATTCTTGTTGATTATTCAATATCTTATTCCTCTGGGGGAAAGAACCAAACTTAGTACAAATTTTTTTCCCTGGAAGACCAAAGGTATTTCAGAGGTCGCCTAAGACTTGTATTTCATATGTACACCAGTGATGACCTAGTTTGATATTTATTTATTTATCTACAACTCTATGCAAGGAAACAGGTCATTGGTTACTAGTACATGAATTATTCGCTAATTTTATAAAACACTCACCTGCTAGGCAAGTAATCGGCTCGCTGCTTACTATCACACGTATTATTTATGTTATTAAATACCCACCTGTTTTGTAAGTAATCAGCCCATTGATTAATATTACATTTATTATTTGTTTATCTTAGTAAGCACTCACCTGAGTCAAAAACATTACTGGGTCATCTATACGAAACAGCT